ACATCACGAGCGACTCGGTGACAGCGAATCATTCGGCGATAGAGTCAGCGCAAACTAATCACCCGACGGTCGGGCACCTGCGTTTGGTGTCGCGGCTGTGGAGTTACCGAGGCACATGGCTTCCCCACACGAATGACATGCGCTTCAGCCGGCGCGACGGCCGTAACGTCGCGCGTCCGAGTGTCAGATATCTGCTCGGCTCAAGGCTCCTGTGCAGTTCCCTCTCATACAACAAACTCTAAATCTTTTCTTCGGGCCATCTACAATCAGGATGCCTTTCAACACGGAGCTGACGAGGGCGCTCGGCATTAGAGGTAACTTCACCAGCACAGCAAACGAGACGGTAGCTGACAGATGTAGTGCCCGTCGTTCAAGGTGGTATGCAATGGGTCGGATACGCCGAACTCGCTTCCGCTGTTAGCAACGCAGGAGGTCTGGGAATAGTATGTCGGGCGCCCATCACGCATCAAACATATTCTCACGATGGCATAGTTGACCGCCCTTACCCAACCCACCCCCGAAGACCTTCGCAAAGAAATTCGCCGATGCCGAACGATGACCAACAAGCCTTTCGGCGTCAACCTGACGCTCCTCCCCGCCATGGTCCCCCCGGACTATGCCGCATACGCCCGCGTCATCATCGAGGAGAAAGTCAACATTGTCGAGACAGCGGGAAACAGCCCAGGGCCGGTGATTAAGCAGCTGAAGGAGGTTGGCACCATCATCCTGCACAAGTGCACTACTATCAGGCACGCACAGTCTGCGGTGAAGCTTGGCGTTGACTTCCTGTCCATTGATGGCTTCGAGTGCGCCGGACACGTTGGCGAGACGGACATTACCAACTTCATTCTGCTCAGCAGAGCTAGGCAATCATTAGGTGGTGTGCCTTTTATCGCCTCTGGAGGTTTCGCCGACGGCCAAGGTCTGGCCGCTGCGCTTTCTCTCGGAGCCTGTGGTATCAACATGGGAACGCGCTTCATGTGCACCATCGAAGCGCCCATCCACCACAACATCAAGCAAGCCATTGTCGACGCGCAAGAGACAGACACCGCACTCGTGCTCCGCCGATGGAAGAACACATCGCGACTCTTCGCCAACAAGGTTGCGCTGCAGGCTGTTGAGGTCGAGAAGACAAGCCCAACTGGCAAGTTCGAGGAAGTCGCTGAGTTCGTCAGCGGAAAGCGAGGTCGGCAAGTCTTCTTGAACGGAGACCCAGACTTCGGTGTAAGTTTACATGTCCCTTTTCGAGTGCGGTTGACTGACAAACCTAGGTATGGACTGCTGGCCAAGTAATTGGCCTCATCCACGACATCCCCACCAATCAAGAGCTCCTTGACCGCATCGAGCGCGAAGCCGTCGAGACCATGAAGCAGTCGCAATCGCTGTTCGTCGAGGAGGGCGAGAAGCCTGTCGCTGACGGCGCGTCCATAAACAAGAAGTCGAATAACCCTCAGGCTGAGGTCTGGGGTATTGGCAAGAGCAAGCTATAGATATGGATAATTTGTGTAGCATTACTCGGTTGGCACAGGGAGCGTTCTGCATGGAATAGCATTTTGATACCATGAGATCTGTTCAATTGATTGTGAGATCGTGAAAAAGTGGGAACGCTTCTCAATCGAGAGGGTTGCTTCGTCAAAGGCATAAGCAAACGCGCATCTCTCGCGTTCAAGCCAATAGCCACTTCGCCACTGCAGATACCCACGTCTCCATCTTGAGTCACTATGACGTGGAACCTGCACCATCGACTCCAGCTTACGCCATCTTAAGAAACTACTTCACAGCCGTGTGCCAAAGCATTGATCAAAGACAGATTGCTCACCACACGAAAAGCTAAACAACGAGGCCTCTCACACAAATCCCCACCGAAGCATACACACCATGTCTTCCCTAACAGGCCAAGAATCTTCAAACACCCAACCCAAGAACCCCGTCAACCCCAGCGAAGACACAGCCGGCACATTCAAGGGCGACCCGAGCGTTCCATTCAAGACCGGTCAGTCGACTGACCCTGTTGGTTTGAGCGCGTCCGTGGACAAGGTACGCTCCTCGCCTGACATGACACCTGATCCCAACCAGGCATCATACTAGACGGGTCGTATCACCCAGGAAGATACTGACAGTCATAGGCTGCACCCGGCCAACAAAACGCCTCGGGTACTTCGGAGGAGCGCCGCGGAGAAGATATAACACAAAACACTAAGCAAGAGTACGAGGGGAGTAGCAGTGTCAGTACCAAAACCGGAAGCGAGAGTTTGATTGACAGTGTGGAGAGGAGTATGCATGAGGGTGGTGAGTCTGATCGAAGTGGAGTGGATGTTGGACAGATTACTGGCGGACGATAGGTTGAAGGACTTGGTGGTATAGTAACAGCGTCACAAGTCGCTTAGATGAAATCATAATTTAACATTGCGATCTTAGCGTTTCATGTGACTGTGTTGGAAATCACCTTCTATGCCCTCTACCTCAAGATGGAGGTATACCTTGCGAACCCACATTAGCCTCAAAGATAGGCCTGAAGAGACTACATCTGTAATCAAGATCAGACTGCGGCAGCACAGTAACACCACTTCCCCTCACACCTCCAACATCGCCGAGAACACCCAAGTTCCAATCTCCTTCTACGACGGTGGCATTCTGGTCCTGATACACTCCACCTGCCGCGAAGTCATAAGCACCGACCAAAACGGTACCCTCAGCACCCGTACCAACAGCATTCCATCCAGGTCCGGCGTATGGGTTCTTCGCGAACTTGGCCCATGTACTTTGCATAAACTGTGCCAAGGCGTACTCTTGCGTCGTTGTATTAGCAAGGGGATATGTGCGGAACACGAGAGGGATTTCAGAAGCGTGGTATGCTCCGAGCTGGGGATAAGCTTGTGTATTGGCGAAAGAGGCGTTGAAGTAGTAGCGCCAGGTGGGGATACCGATGGATGCTGTTGCATTGGCCCACAGTGCTTGTGGACACTGAAATGTGATCTCAGTGACAATCTGTGAGATGACGTCGTAGCCGTTGGTCAGACCGTTGCTACCGATTGGGTATGCAGTCTCGATTGCGGGAATGAGTGCTGGTGCGGCTCCAAAGGTCGCTTGCAGGTAGGCAGTAACGTTTGTTTGGCCAACTGAGAAGACGCGGCCTTCTTGAGAGTTTGTACCTCCTAATACTGGTACATGCGCGATATCACCACTTAGGCGTTGTGCCGCTGGGTTTGATACCAAAGTGGTGTTATCAGCAACTGGGTTGAAGACGAGCGAGTTTTGGTTGATGATGGTCTGCAGAGTCGTTGCATTTGCCGCTCTTACGCAAGTCAAGTTGCTCTCATGTGTTCCTGGGCACCCGAGCGTTGCCGTGAGATTGTTCCAAGCGGAAATGCTCGATATTGCAGGAGCTGCGCGATAGCTGTACTGCCCACTTTGTAGAATGGCGGCCCGGAATGGTGGTGAACTCTCTTTTGGGAAGCTGGTCAAGAGCGCATCGATTGAGAAAGCACCCGCGCTCTCGCCGAAGATGGTGACTTTGGATGCATCGCCGCCGAAGGCGTGGATGTTGTGCTGTACCCACTCGAGGGCAAAACGTTGATCAAGGAAGCCAAGATTGCGTTCCGCTAATGGTAGTTCTGGTGAAGCAGGGAAGCCAAATACTGCAAGCTGTTAGAACTTGAACCTATGGTTATGCAGAGCTAATATTTGCCCACCATTCGTTCTGTAGTTCGTCGTCACAACGATGACATCTTCGTATGCTGCGAAACTGCTTCCGTCATATTGTTCTTGACCAGCGTTACCGAACTGCAGTGAGCCACCGTAGATCCAGAACATTACGGCTCTGCCATTGCCGCCTGCGGGAGTTGATGGTGCATAGACATTGAGGTACAAGCAATCCTCCGACTCTTCAGGTGGCGGGTTATTGAAGACAGCCTGCGTGAACTGTGAACTTGACAACGGATCTACTCCACTTAGCATATATCAAATAGCTTGTATGGTTTGCGTACATCGAAATTGTTGGATACATGCTGGTTTGAACTCGGTGGTATTGACTGGCTCTTGGAAGGGCGGTGCAGCTCGCGGTGCAGAGAATCTCTCGGGTGGTGATGCAAAGGGCACACCTAGAAACTGATGCACCGGTCCGAGTGCATGGGGAAGTGAGGTGGTCTTTCCAACTATGACACCCGCGTCAACAGTTGCGGTTGGTACATCGTGTCCGGACGCATAGTCTGCCCAGGTTGTCGTCACGCCGCTGGTTAAGAACAGGAGACCAACGGAGCCCAATGTAGAAGATAAGAACATGTCGGCGGCACTGTGGTTTTACTACCCGTGCACTGTCATCAAGCAGTATCTTGATCTCTTTATATAAGCCTTGTCTTTTCATTGACGCGAAACCGAGGTCAACACTTTCGTCGCAAGCCACCTCCAGCTTGGCGTGCATCGCGCTGTAAGGTTTCCATCCAAACAAAATCACTTCTTAGTGCGCGAAGCCGAGGCTTAGGAGCCGTCTCCGCAACTAAAAAGCATAAGAGCGTCATGGCCATCCCGTGTATGCGGTCGCTCTTGAGTAAACAGTGCAGCACGCGCTAATGACGCGTGAAGTTCGCTTGTTATCGTTCGACGGTCGCATATGGCGACCTGCTGGGGAAGAGCAGAAGGTCAAACATTGAACTCAACAGACAAGATCACACGGAGAAGCAGACCATGAGAGAAAGAAGACGCGAAGATTGTGATGAAGATGCGGGACGCGCAGGTCATTGCGGGGTGCGTCTCGCTTCCGGTCACCCCCGGCTCCCAGTCCCAGCCACCAAAGCCTCGCGACTGCCTGCCCATCCATCATCGCTACCGGGAACGCCAATTTTTCATCCATACTAGACCTCTACGCCGATAACAATCTCAACCACCATCAGGAACTGCTCAGTTTTGATCCGATTCGGCAAGATTGTCATTACTACGAACTACCGCCCCTAGACGCCTGCGCCTACCCAAAGGATCGTCCGCCGCGCTCTTGCCATCGTTCCTCACAACTTCTCGATGGGTCTCTCATTCGCACTCGCGTCACGAAGGTAGAAGAGCAAGTTGGGGGCTCTGTTGGGGTCTGGCGGCTCGCCGCTGTAGAATATCCTTATCCCAGCAATTACCTTACGGCCAAGTTGGTCTCGATGCTGAGCAAGTAACCAAGCTACACCTGCACCGTGGGCTGTGCCCAGCAGAGCGATAGCATGGTCACTGGTCATGTCTAGGTATAGTCCCGACCGCGTACAAGCCTGTGACTGGCGAGGTGGTGCGTCGAGAATATTACTAATGATAGCTAAAGTATCTTCGTTCGAGATGTTTTCTCTCATGATGAACTTGAGATCACGTACTTCTTCCTGGTCGAGTTGAGAATGGACCCATTGGTGGAAAGCTATATCGGACCAGTGCTTCAACGAGGGTAACAGAGCGGCCGCCAGCGATTTCAACTCCTTGGCCTTGTATGTCGGGCTGTAGCTGTAGTTCGCTACGAGAATTCCAGCTTCGAAGTTGATTTCGGACATGAACCTCACTTCGCTTGCGGCTACAATTGTTTCGCCAGTGATGACGTCTTTTGTGTAATCGTCTGTAACATTAATGAAGTGAGAGTTAGAACCTTGAATATCGAGACTGTCCAGCTTTTTTGACAGGCTAGAGACAGATCGAGGCCTTGTTGTTCTCTTGTATCCTATTGCTCTTACTTCCTTAGGCGTGAAGTATAGGCTTTGCGTAACAGCAGACATAATAATTATTTAATTATTTATAAGTTTCTATATAAATAAAAAACTTATAAATTAGTTAAAAAAGAGTTCTTTAAATATATTTTTAATATTTTAAAAAAGTTATAAGCTTAAAAAAGTTACTATTTTATAAGTAGTTTATTAGTAAACTAATTCTATAGCGTAAACTAGTCTAAAAAAAGTAAGGTCTATTACTAGTATATAAAAAAACGTATTTCTAAAAAAGTTAAAATTTTATATTTAGAGGTATAGGCGTTAAGTAGACTAAAGCTTAGATTTTTAGTACTACTACTTTTAGTATAGTTAAAGCTTTTAAAATTTAGAGTAGTAAGATAACTATTTTATAAATACTAATATCTACTTATAGTAAAGAGAATTATAATATAATTATATATTCTTAATAGCTTATAACTAATAAAGCTATAGATTATAAAGTAATAAAATACTAAATTTTTTAGTAAGTAAAATTATACTTTTATATATATACTCTCTATTCTTATTCTACTACTTATAATAAATTAGAGATCTAAAAACTTATTAAAGATATAAATAGTAGCTTAAATCTAATACTAAAGCTATACTAATACGTACACTAAATAAGCTCTAACTATATCTCTACTTATATCTTTTTTATAAGTTCTTCTAGTGTTAGTAAGTCTACTACACTAAAGCTTAATTAAGCCTCTTTATTATTACTATATTAATTACTTTTCTCTTAAACGCGCTACTTTATAAGTTCTTTTAAAATTATTATCTTAAAAGCTATTATAGAAGCTATTATAAACTATTTTATTTATACTATACTAAAGACTATTATAAGTACTCTAAAGAGCTACTTTACTAGTATAAAGCTATACGCTAAGCCTATTAATATTTCTATTATACTTATTTTTATTATACTTATCTTTATTATACTTATTTCTTTTACCTCTATTTTTATTATTCTTATTATATATATAACTAGCGTAAGACCTTCTATTATTTTTTTTTTTTAGTTTTACTTTTAAAAAGCTTATTAGTAAAATATATAAGCTCTTTAGTAAATATAGCCTACTTTTAAAGTAATAAAAAGAGTATTTTATTTATAATTTTACTAAAATATACTTAATTACTTACGCTATTTATATTTATAACTAAGTATATAAAGTAAGATTAATATTAAGCTTATAGCTTTTTTTAGCTCTTAAGAATACTATACTTTAGTAAAAGAATGCTTTAGCTAAGATACTTTATAAGAGTAATAAGAGCTAAAATAATAAAAATATAGTATTTATAGCTTATCTTATATAGTTAAATACTATTTACTAAATAGTAGATATAATAAACTACTATAAGTTCTATTAATACCTAGGCTATAAGAAAATAGTTATTATATTATAGTTATTAAAAAATATATACTATAAAGCTATTATAGTATTTACGTTACTACTATATTATATAGTTTTTAATTACTATTTAAGCTTCTAGAAGTTATATAAATAAAAGTAGTATTAGTTTAAAGTCTTAGTACTAATAGTAATATACTCTAAGTTTATTAAAATCTACTAGTAGTTCTAAGACTAATAGCTAAGCGTCTTTTAATATCTTTTTATTAAATAAAGTTTATAAAATTAGGTATAAAGCACTAATTTTATAAGTAGTATAGTATATACTATAGTACTCTAAATAAAGAAAGTCTTATAAGTAAAGCTATTACTTAGTAATAAGTTTATAAAAAGCTTATATATTTAAAAAATAATATATTTAATAATAAAAAATAAAGCTAAGATAACTATACTAATAAAATATCTATATATAGCTATATTTCTTAGCTAACTTTAATAGTATTAGAATATAGTATATAAAATTAATAATTAATTCTATATAAAAATATTTTTTAGTAATATAATTTATAAGTATAATTTAGTATAAGATAAAAGCTAAAAAATCTACTTTTATATACTAAAAAATAAAGCGCTACTTTAGTAGTTTAAGAAATAAAATAAAAGCTCTTTTATAATTAAAATAAATAAAGTTTTAATAATATTTTAAAAAATAAAATAGCTAAAGCCTAGCTAGATAAAAAAATTAATACTTTAACTATACTTTTTAATAAAATTTTAAAGAAAGATTAAAATTTAAGTATAAAAGAGCTAGCTTTTATAATAATTATTAACGCTAGTAATAATTAAGTTATTTTAAAAATACTAGTATATACGTAAGAAGTTTTTAAAACTTATACTAGTTTAATTATTAAGTATAAGTAATAAGTGCTAAGTAGAATAGGTAGTTAGAGTTATTACATTATTTATTAAAATTAGTAACAGTAGATCTGCTATGTATTATTTTAAGCATCTTCTTGCCTTTCTCTACAGTAGTGTTGTAGTTTAGATTACTAATTTGTGAATTTATTGTTGTAGGCATAGCTTACTGTAAAATGTTATAGAGAAAGAGAGGAAGCGAGTGTTCTTTATATATGAGGCTAGTGAAACAATGTCTTCTACCTTCCACGAATCTCTAGTGGATCAAGCACGGGCTAGTTTCATGAGTGTTCTACTGTCTGCCATCTCATTGTCCGCGTGGCCTAACACATTGCTAGAGCAACGCTCATTCTGCCCTCATAGCGACTTCCTTTAATCACCTTCCTCGCTGCCTAGCTTCGTGATGACGACGTCGCGAAGGTGGAACACCAAACTTGGAACTATCGTCTTGCTATTATGCCAGATTTCTCGACAGTCCACCGTTATCTTGTAAACTGTCTTGTGGCCCAATTGCTGCTTATGCTGTATGAGCAACCAAGCGACTCCGGCTCCATTCGGTGTCCCTAGAAAAGCGGCTACTTCATCCCGGTCGTCAACGTCGAATGAGTACGAGCCTGATGCCTTGGGATGGGCTTCTTGTTTGATATGATGGATGACGGCTTTTGTCTTTTCGTTTGTTATGCTCATTCGCATCACATAACGTAGGTCGGATGAGTCCGTGTTACGGCAGGCCCATTGCAGGTATGCGACATCTGACCAGTACTTCAGGCTAGGGACGCCCTCGCCGACATTATTCTTCTCCGTAGACTTGTGGCCGGCTTGTTTAAGTAGAGCGTTCTCGGCATCCGCTTTCGCTTTTCTCCAATCATGCATAGGACTGTACGTGTTCATGGCTGCAATCATACCACCGGAAGTGTTGATGACTGAGTCGAAGCGTATCTGCATCTCAAGTCCTTCTTGTAGCGATTCTTCGATTGGTGCAACGCCGTGGTGTTCATGTGAAACAGGGATATTACTTGAAGTATTTATTCCAAGGTCCTCCAACAGTCGCGCCAGAATTTTGGAATCGTCCCCGGAGGACCGCTCAACCCAATTGTTCTCCAAGAGATCTTCGTAGTTGAGGTATTCGCTTTCAGTTGGCGTATCTGTGTTTTTGAGTAAATTACCAAGCTCATCAAAGCTAGCTTCCAGCATCTGTAACATCAATTCACCTTTCTTGCAAGCCGCCTCGTAACGCGTTGCCGGACTGACTGAGGTTGTCATTGGAGAGGGCGCTAGTTATAGAAGTGTCGCATGCGGGTCGTGGTAGTGCTAAGTATGTTGCCATTCAGATGCATTTATGAGTTCCTTAAGTATGAGACGTTGAGCGTCACGCGCATCGTCAACATACGGTATGACGCGAAGCAGCTGACATGTAGCCTAATCTGTTCCACCCTTTGTCTAGCCCCCTCCATGTAAAGTGAATGCACATACAATACTCCCACCTGACCCCCACTCTACACAATCCAAAACAGCAAAGTCGGCCATCTAAACAAATCATCCTTCTTCGCCGCATGAAACAAAGTGACTTTCTCAATATGCTTCTCTCCAAACGCTTTCTTATGTTGAACAAGCATCCACGCAACACCGGCTCCATTCGGCGTCCCTAAGATCGCCTTCCCTTCTTCAGTGTCCATCCCGAACGTGATACCAGGCCACATCTCATATGTAAACGTGACGTGCTTGCTAATAATCCTATTAAGCACCAGAGAAGTCTCGGCGTTCTGAATCTGGACGCGGAAGACGTAGTTGAGCGGAATTGGCCGTATAGGTGGTTCGGGGAAAGAAGAAAGGTATTGCAGAAACGCTACGTCTGACCAGTGTCGCAGTGACGGTAGTTCTATAGCTTCTTCTTCCCATTCGTCATCGAACTTCGCTGCATGTGCAGGACTGAGATTACTGTCTGCGATCAAGACACCAGCGTATGGGTTGCTGACTTGAGAAAAGTAGCCATGTGTTGTCTGATAGCTCGTTAGAACGTGCTTACTTCAAAGCTACCGCGAAACGTACTGTATCGTCTTCTGTCGCTTCTGCTCCGTCGCGGTCATGCACATGGTGTGTTCTGATATTCTCTCCGCCATCATACACCATCCTGTCGCTGACGCCCAGATCGCAGAGCGCGTCGGCCATGCAGTCGATTTCAAAGAATTTGTCTTGAGGCTTTAGAAGATAGCCATGTTGGGCTAGTTCTTGTACCTCCTCGTATGCGCTTTGAACGTGTGTCTTGTCTTTTGCGGCCAGTATCTGGAGTAGCCTAGTACCCTTCACGACGGCGGCCTCGTAGTCTTGATCTATCGTCAATTTTGTCATGGTAGGGACCTATTCGTGGATGAAGGAAGGGAATGTTCCAAGAGAAAGGTGAGAGAAGAGAACAGGGTTATGGAATCACTCCCCCACTTGAGAGTCAAATAACAGTGTTTGCTCGACCGAGCTTTACTTCACTCACAGTGTCACACGAGCGCAGATCATTCGTTACTCCGCAGCTCCTGACCGCACTGCCACCTTGTTGCGCCTACAGCATACCTCCGCCCCATGTTTGGCTATCCCGTGTCACTTGTCCTCACCCACTTTGCCCTGCTCGCCATCTTCCTTCGCACCTTTAACACCGTCAGGCCCAGTACTCCATCCAAGCACAACACAAGGACGCGGAAAACTAACCGAACATACTGCCCCCACCACCGCCCATCCTCCCTCCCCTCTGCGCCTCCCTAACCAACCACTCCCTCAAAAAGTCCTTATTCCGCATCTCTTCGGGCCGCGTCAACCTCGTATCAAATTGCGCCTCCTGTCTTGAAAACGCCAATAGCGTCGGCATACTACTGATGCGGTATTTTATAGGCAAATCCTCAATCAACGTGCTGTCCATCAACACTTCCACAAAGCCCAGTCCGCCTTCCCGCTCCCCGATCTTTTCTTCTTCGATGAGTTGGCGGATGAGCGGCTTGATGGCTTGGCAAGTTTGACACCAGGTCGCAGTCCAGAAGGTTATTAGAGATCGGTTGTCGGATGCGTTGAGGAGTGTGAGTGTATGGAGGTCGTTGGGTTGGCGGATGGGGTCGAAGATGCGGTTGGTGTGCGAGCGCGACGAGGGGTTTAGGAGAGAGAAGGCGCGTTTGGAGGGGCTTGGGAAGGCATTGAGGCGGATGGTGGAGAGAAGGGTTGGTCGTAGCATTTTGGCGGTTTGTGGGGTTGTGTTGGGGGTCGTAGATGGGATGGTGGAGGTTTGGGGTTCGCGGATCGCGACGCGTGAAGGTTTTGGGGCTACGTCATCGGTTGCCGGGAGCTTGGGTCCACATGTCATCGCGTCTTCACGTTTGTTCACGCCCTTACATCTCCACAGCTGTGTTACGTATCATCCATTCATCTCTCATTTGCGAATACATGTTGTACATTCTCCTAGCGTCTAGGCACCTTCTTGCTCAATCATGATACGATCGATCTGATCCAAATACACGCAGCCATAATGCCAGCTATCTCGAATACGTTATACATCTACTACAAATCACAGCGACAAAAGAAATATTCGGGCTGTAATACTGGGCTCGTGTTAGTACGCGTCGAGAAAAGAGAGGCCGTTCGACAGCCTTTGTCTCTTGCTTCGACGCGGCGCGTCGGCCGCAGTAACATGTCTTCCATCCCGCCCAGCGGCTACATCATCCCACAGAGCGAGACCGTCGCTACCATCGTCGCGCAGTTTTCTTTTAGCATTCCTCCGATTTTCAGGGAAGTCTGATTTCATATCCTCGAACTCTCGCGCTAACCCTTCCTCTTCTTCTTCCTCTTGGATAGGAACAAAGTTGGTATTGTGGTCATAAGGTGTGTCTGTCGGCGGTAATGTACCAAGAGCAGTGTCTACAAGTGCATATTCTCTGATCCTCACATCCAGCGCACTCTCATTGGTTTGAGCACAAGTGAACTTGAACCGGCGAGACTCTGGTACGTCGTCTGCACTCGTCTCTATCGTAAGCCTTTTGCTGATAAGGAATTCGGCAAGCGTACGCCAGTCTAGTAAGCCAGCGGTGGCCATTTGAGCGAGTCTGTAGATCAGATTATATCCGTTCTCTTTGTAAATTGCGTCTCCTTTGGGATGAAGGCCCAAGGCGATTATCCAAGCGTTGATCACCGTGTGATGTCCGCATTGCCAGCCGCCGTTTTGCTGCTGAGGCACTTGTATATCAGAAGGAATCTCCCTGGGTGGAACAACATCCCAAACACGGCGATGGTCTGACCACTTGAGGCGTTTATGAGCCTTGCTGATACGCTCCAAAAAGAATCCTTGCACGTCTTTGAAGATTCTCTGACAGCTGTCGATGAATACTATCTCGAAATGCGTTTCGCCTGGATAATCGTCGGTCTCGTCGTTGAACGATTCTTGGATCAAGACGAGGAGCGTATGGCCTTCAGCTTGGCTGTTAGTAGGGGGCTTCCATTTCATACCCTTTCCCTTCGCCCAGTTCTTCAACTCATCCAACAGGCCACCGCTACTGACTACCAAAGGCATCAACCAAGCCCTTCGAGGGCGCGAAAGCACCAGATTGTCGAAGGAATTCTTGTCGGAATCATTGGAACAGAGGGCGAATGCCAGACTGGCGGACGTTGCCAACGTAAAGCCTCCAGCGAAGAGGCTCGAAGAGTTTGTACGCCCATGGGCATCAGATTGGAGATTATCGATGGCCTCCAGAACCGACACGATGGCCAAATTCACTTCAGAATCGTGTAGGGGTTGTTTCCAGTCATGCTTGGCCGACTTTGTAACCCCAACGCCGATATCCCCGAAACATTGCCGTACGTCATGTTTTTGCATGAGGAGGACATAAGTCTGATAGACATCTCTTACCCTTGCTGCAAATGTGTCCTTATAATGTTTTCCCACCTCAGCAAAGTGGTTTTCGAGGTGAACTCGTAAACTTTGTATCAATGTATCTCGTGTCATTTCGGCGATAGACCCTGGGACGGAGTTGAGAAATCTTTCGCAGGCTATCCCCCACGAGCCATCATGAGCTTCTTCCAATTGGGAGCTGTCATGGTTGACATTCAGGATGCCCAGCTGCTGAAGGCGAGGTACAAACTTCGATTTGCTTGAACCCGTCCATTCGTCGGAAGGGAAGCCGCCAGCCTGGCTGTGTGATGAACCATTGAGGCCTGGAACGCGATTACAGCGTCGCATTCTCGCATTTTCTTCAGGCGTGGGCTGCTGCCGCTCTTGCCAGTATATCAGCTCTATAGCACCAAGACTTCCCAAATCTTCTACCATTCTGTCTTCGTTTTGTATGGCATGAGTTTGGGTAAAACGCCTGTTCTCGGGTACAGAGCCATTCCGTACGATATCATGGCATCGTAGAAAAGCAAAAATGAGTTTCCAGTCTGCGTGACCCAAACGCGCAAGACTGATAACATCATACAACTCATCGAAGAACGGTTTTGTCCATTTAAGTCGCACCGCAGGATTGAGCTCCAAGCCTAGCGCCAGTCCCCAGGCGTTGAGCATTACGAAATAGCCACATTCATTCGTACTCGGTTGAAGAGCGGTTTTGACCCAAGTTGCATGAGAAGGCTTGGCGTTCTTGAAAGTAGCTTCATCTGGGAAATGTCGCCTGTACCAAGCCGTACGACATACTACCCTCCAGGCTATCTCGAAGATGTGGTTACGTTGAAAAGCGTTGTAATGGTAGAACAACGAGTCGAGAACCGATATTTCGGGTAAGCCCTTTTCGTTCAGCTGCACAATTACCAGGACGAAATGACTTTCTGAGTACAATGGCATGAGTAGAGGACGGCCGGGTCGAAGTGCGGGAGTCACGCTGGCGCCAACACCTTTACATAACTCAACAGTTGCCGGCGACACAACGCTGTAACCCTCTTCGATACTCTGCGTGTCGTTGATAGCCAAAGTGACCGCAGCGGTGTGCATGGCCACCTCCTCGTCGGATAGCCATTTCCCAAACTCGGTCGTTACTCTTTCGCCACTTCTAAAGGTTTTCACCTCTTCCTTGACTTTGTCGTTTGCCAGCAAGTTCTGCAATGTGCGACGAAGATGTTCGCATGGTTGGAAGTCTTTGGCTGATGCGTCGTAGCGCTTCCGTATCTCTTCACGGGAAAGCGTTTTGTCAAAAGTGCTGAGACGTTGAAGTTCTGGGATGCGAGCGACTTCGTCAAAGAGGCTCAGGTCCTTCGGGATGGGATTGTCGTCCGCAGGTGGATCCACCACACCTGCTACAACATGCCCACCTGTGGTGACTAGGGCTCCTGTCTTCGGGTCTTTTGCCGAGTTAGGCAACTGTGCAGGATTTGCAGCTGGACTTGCAGCTGGACTTGCAGCTGCATCTGTAAGTGGATTTGCGGTTGGGTTTGCAAGTGGATTTGCATTGGGGTCTGTAGGTGTAGTATGCAAATGTCTGGTGTACTTTCCAGATTTGATCAGCTCGGGTATACGTGCTCTTCTTTCAGGTCCGTCGTAATCATCCCATGGGAAGACTTCGTTGTGCGCTAATCCTGTGTTCACCGAAACCGAAAAGTGTGGGTATCTGAGAATGTGATGCGGCAGTTTCGCCATCATTGAGTTGTAATTCTGTCCCCAGGCCTTTCTTCTCCGTTTCTGCAACATGGTCTTGCTTTCTTTGAACTTTCGCCGCTCACTAGCATCGACGTTGCGACGAGATTTGAATCGTCGCTCCGATGGAGGTGCTTGGTCTGACAGAGTGTAGCCAACGCAGCGCAAGAACGCCCAGATCAGCTTCCAGTCTGCATGTCCGTCTTTGATAGCTTCGATTAGGCATGAAGCTTGGGTAAAAAAATCTTCTTTAGGTTGGAAGTCATTGTTGATAGGTAGACCGAGTAGTACAGCCCACGCGCTGATGACTGTGAAGTAGCCAGATGTTTCAATACGCGTTTGCTGGGGCCCATCTATCCACTTCAGTGTCAGTATCTCGTTATCCGGGAACTCTTCCTTTTCAGCTGTCAATAGGCCACTTGATTTCAGTTGCTCATGGATTTTGGCGCGCTCGCCTGTCGTCATTGTCCATGGCGCAGAGTCAATTACACGTGTGACGGCGACGTATTCGCTGTCCTTGCTCTTGCCTGTTTTTCTTTTGTCCGGTCTGCTCTTGCCTACTTCGCTCTCGATCGTATCGCTCTTGCGGGCTTCACTTGCGCTGGCCTTGAGCTCGTATTGGAGAACCACTAATATGAAATGTCCTTCATGCTGGTGAGACACCAAAACTACTCTGTTGCGGTCTCCCTGTGTACCTGAGAAAGACACGGTACCGGCAAATTCTGCGAACGAGAATCCGTGGTTAGATGAGAGCAAATCATTGATAGATCGCATGACAGCCTTGATACCACTGGTGACCTCTGATTCTGATAATTGGAGGATGCTCGCTCCCTCTTCATCGCCCTCGGTACTTGTTGCAATCAGATTCGAATCAATGAGTGTCTTGAGCTGCTCACGAAGATGCACGCAAGGTTCAAAGTCTCTCGGGGCTGGGTCAGTATCCAGATGCGGATTCGGCGGCGAGAGGAAGAGATCACTTTCATTGAGACCATCGTCCGGTTGATCCTCTGTCCTCTTGAAGTTCCATTGGCCATCACGGACGATGGAAGTGAGGTTGGTCCGTTCGAGCTCGCTTAGTGAATCTGCAGCGAAGGCTTGATCATGGCGCATTCCATCCTCGAGTCCCAAAGTGACCAGCTCCATATCGATCTTCTTGCCTTCGGCGGCGGCGTCTGCTGCCGTTTGGCGAGCAATTAGATTCTGGAAGGAGCGGTTACAAAGATCAAATCGCCTTGATAAATGCGGGAGATTTGCCTCTTCATCATTCTCGCTGCCCTCGCTGGGCTTAACGAATCCGGTGCAGCGGAAAAAGGCGAGCAATACCCTCCAGTTCAACGTGTCTTGAAGGGCCAGATCGAAGATTTGTTGGGCCCGGATGAAGAACGATTCGTGACCATGAGCGCTGGGTGTGAACGACGGGTTCGGTGCGAGGCCCATCGCCAGCGCCCACGCGTTCAAGACAGTGTACGTAAAGCTTCCATCGCCTGTCGTGATCTGAGCAGCCGGTACCCACATCGTGGCCTCGGGCAGGTTTTCTTCTATTTGATCTAACGAGTCAAAGACATGCCGCCACCATGTGGAGTTTCGCAACGTCTCCCTGATGTGTTCATCGATGGCTTTGCGACTATACAGCGTTGATCTCCACGTCATTGGATCTAGGACTTCGAGTGTGATGTGCTTGTCGGCGTGTATTCGAGCAGCGAGCAATAGATGGTTCCCATCCACCTCGATTGGTTGCAACAGCGTCCTTCCGGGTCTGAAATTCTGTCCCTCATGCTGGTAACTGAATCCGGTAGCTTCTTGCTGTCGATAGTTCACAGAAGCAAGAACTCTGGGAACGAGCTCGCGATATCGACTTTGTTGATGAGACAACAGCTGAGCTCGCATATACGCATCAAGATCTTTGATCGGCTCTCCTTCATCGGTGAATGTGTCGACGAAGTCATCCTCTGACTCCTCTTCTACCTCTTCTGCGATGCCCGGGTTTCCCAATCCCGCTGGCGGTGGTGGAGCTCCAATAGGCCTCCATCTCACCCTCGTATTTCCCAAAGCAACATCCCCATTTCCATCGCGACGATCGAGCTCTTCTTGAGGTACCGCCCTGTGTGAGAAAGTGTCTTTTAAGCTTGCTGCAGTTCTGAAGAAGAACGCTGGTTGTGACAGTAGTTCAATGATCGCGTACCCTTCGAGCGGCCCAATGTAAAAAGGCATGGACGAGGAGTCGTTGCTGTTGGTGTATGTAGTTCCGTTTACTGTGACTGACGTATTGAGAGGGAGTTGAATGAAGTAACCGGCTGGGCTGCCATCCTCTGATGAGTTCCGTCGGATAAAATCTACATGCGCAGTCACATCGTTCACAGTCCTAAATCCAATCAGCTTGGCGGCAACGAGCCACGTATCTGCACTTACACTTCCAAACGTTGGTCTTCATTTAGAACAAAAGTAGCGTTGTCCTCCGCTCTTGAGAGCACTACTGCAATGTTTGCGTCATCGCCAAACTGCTGCTGGAAATGAGTGATGCTATGGCCCTCTTCCTTATCAATACTTCTACTCTTGATATCGTTGAACAGGTTGCGCAAAGACGCGCTGGGCCTGTACTTGTCTCCCGCTCGCAGATCTTTGCCTTGCTTTTGGAATACTGGCGTCCGGAATTGCGGATCTAACAAAGGTGCTTGTTGCGGACTTATCTCTTCTCGCGCTTTCTCATAGAGGATTTGGGCATACTCGGCTGCGCATTTCTCTTTGTAGATGTTCTTTCCCTTTTCTTTTGGTATGAACCAGTTGACATCGGTCTTGGTTGTATCGTCATCAGGAGTATCCTCTGATCTGGTCTTCTTCGCCTTGGGTGGGTCGTCACCATGTCCTGTCTTCTTCCGTTTTGGAGACATCTTGATAGAACCTCGATACCAATGGATGTGAAGTGTCAGACAAGAATAGAATTCATGGACATGAGATTGGAACTTTGACCCATGCAGATGTCGCGTCGGATATATGCTGGGTATGTGTTCTTTGAAGAATGGCCCTTTGTCTACAGAGGACAAGAAGAACATGCCGGGTTTGCCAACATCACCCATGCTGTGTTAGTTATCTGAACAAAGGGAGATACCTAGCCGTCTTCCACCAGCAGGACAGTAATTAGAGAAAACCGTGCCAACATGAGAAGACGACAGGGTGCACACGGCCTATCTGGAGGAATAAAAGATATGAGACTAGTTTCATCAGTGCCGAATATGGAGGGAATCGATGATGATGAGATCATCATATTCGCCGATAGAGGCTACAAGAGTTATTTGTACACGTTATTTACAAACTTAAGTTGATCATCTCCAAGTCCTCTAGGCTTGGTGCTGGCGTGCTGGCGTCGACTGGAGTGTCCAAAGTGTATCATACGAACATAGACTGAGCAAGGCGGGAGGTCATGCGACGGCTGTCGACAAAGAAAAGAGTTCAAGTTTCGGCTTCGCTTTCATGCTAGCGGTTGATTTCTTTCATGGCGTTCGTAATGGCGGGCGAAGCAGTGAAGAGGACCGACACCTATCGGTGGTAGGGTCTCGATAGGGGTCTGCGAAACGTTTCCTCGCCACAATGCATTGTTTAGACCCTCCTAGAGATTGTCTCGACTCAACATAGTACTGAAGAGGCTATTGATGAGTACAACAGGTGCCTATCCAGCCGCCAACATGGACTTGGCCACCGTAGGGTCGTACACAACAAGCGCCGCCACTGGTCTCCGATAGCTCCGCTCGCTATAGGCCAGGTTGATGATGACGGGGCACCTCCCACTTGTATCCGCAGACTGACCACCGTCTTGTCTTATATAGTCGCATGATTTTGAGAATATCGATCCATCATGTTGAATACTGTAGCATTGTCGACATAACAATGACGGTCTGATGTGTGGCATCCGAGATCGACTTCCAGCTCAGGGCCAACACCAGATCGCATTGTGCGGATGATGTTGGCAGCGTCAACACAAGACGAGGTGTTGTTGTAATATGACGTCGGTTCTGCAGTGTAGTTGCAGTCGCTCGAGTAGGCCCAAGCGCTACTATAGGTCTGCTCGTAGGGGTAGTCGTACTGAACATGCTCTGACTTGATCTGAACAGCTGATGGAGTCATTGGAGTAGTATAATGCATCGCTGGATATGAGGCTGGTGGTGGTGTGCCCATACTTGATACCACGGATCTTGGACTGGGCGAATCGTTGCAACTGAGTGCTGTCGGCCGTGCAGATGGGATAGTAGCATGCGGCACTGATGGGACGTGTTGAGATAGCGAATCGGCTCTGGTATATGAAGGTATAGGCGAACTGGTCGAAGAGGCTGTGTTGGTGTTGACCCTTGACTCAAGCATGGCCTGCAGTCTGGTGGCGGCAGAGGTGTGCTTGTAGTGTCGATCGGACGTCGATTCAAGGGCAGCGACAATCTCCGCTTCAGAGACTCCTCTCCCATGAAGAAGCGACCTGAGTTTTCGGTTCTCTTCTAGTACTTTCCTGGCAGCATACTGGATTTCCGAAGAGGCCTCGATGCCTATCTGTTCATAGCTGCGCAGTTTGGCCTCGAGCTCATGCAGATACTCCTTCCGGCGGGCGCGTGATCGGCCTGAAACGAGTACCGTTAGCGAACATCCTCGGTAAATCGAATGCTCACACAGAGACGTCTGGATGGTTTGCAGGCTGCAAGCTATCGCCACTCTTCATGGTTGGACAGCTGACGATAGGTCGTCGTCGTCCAAGGAATCCACTCACGTTGGTTGTCCCTGATCCTAGCGAGATTCTGTGCCTTCTGTTATGAGCCGTTAGCGGAGTGCTTAGGAGGTGATAGATGCAGACGTACAGATATTCTGCTGTTGTCACTCATGGTGATGTTTGATACGAAGCAAAGCGGGCGAATAGTGATGGATACTGAACGGGTTGGGAAGATGGCTTTTCAGTTGGGTGATCATCCTGAGTAGTATCATTCCAAACAGATGGCATCCCGTAGTCTTAAAGAAGAAGGCAGTGGCAGAGGGACGAGCAAGCCACCTGTGCCCAAGCGCGCTGCAGGCCTCATCCTGGCCGCCCTGCGTAGGGAGCGTAAGGGTGTAAGTGGGAGTGTGCCTCGCCTCTGCTGCCGGGGTTACAAGCGTGGGAGTCTGAAGCGGACGGGCCCACAGACGTGATGGTAGACCGGGATAGAGCGGTAATGTTACGAAGACGCGGCCGATCCTGTCAGTTCTTTCGGCGACCGGTGCTAGTCCGAACGTGACATAGCGCCGATTGCTAGCGCGCTTCCCTCAGCTCGGTGACTGCCCTTTTCAGCTTCAGCCTCGGAAATTGGGGGTGAACGAGTTTTGCAGCCGTCTCACAACACCACGTCGCATCATCTCCATCGCGAATTATCTCGCGTCATCTATCGCGCACTACCCACGACCCAGATTCCACCGCGTCGGAAACGTTCCGAGGACACGACAACCAGTCTGGTGGCACTCGACAAGGATCCCAATCAACAACCCCAGCATGGCTATTGGTCAACGAATAACGGCACCGTACGCCGGCCTTTTTGATCCCACGCGGTTTGTAACCTCGTGGATTCTCCCACCAGCCGCCCTCTTCGCTATTCGCGCGCTATTGGCCATTTACGCATTTACCACGCTCTTTTTCATCTTTGGCTGGAATGGTACCCACGGCAGGTCCGACGCTTCGCAGCAATCCTTCTCTTTCTTCACGGTTCTGACGTATTGGGGTCTCGCCTTTTACTATGCCTTTGCCGCTGTGCATACCGGCAGTTACTGGTTTACTGGAACTTCGTTTTTGGCACGATGGCCCAAAGCGCTACAGGTGGCGCACAGCATGTTTTACTCTACCATTGTAGTCTATCCGTGGATAGTGACCAGTAAGTCAACTTACATAAAACGTTTTGCCAAAGTCGCGCCGGAGTACCTCGAGGCAATCTCGTGTTCCCTGCAACATCATTTTTGGAGAACTGGCAGCATTTATTGTCTGAGCACGCTGAACTAACACACAACAGTTGTTTATTGGACACTTCTTGCGGGTCAATTCCCCACCACTTTCGCTCTCTGGTCAAACACGTCACAGCATGCTCTCAACTCGGCGTACGCCCTTTTCGAGATAGTTATCCCCCGAACTGAGCGACTGCCCTGGCTCGACCTGATTCCAATTATCCTCCTGTTGGCTCTTTATCTTGGCCTGGCCTACCTCACGCATGCGACCCAAGGCTTTTATGTATACCCCTTCCTTGACCTTCAGAAGAATTCTTCTGGGCTAGTCGGAGCGTACATAGTGGGTATTCTGGTCGCCGCGATTATTATCTTCTTGATTGTCAGGTATCTCATCGTGTTGCGCGTCTTTGTCACTGAGAAAAAGCTAGGGAAGACTGGGAAGACTTCAACGCGTCAATACGCGGCGGGCGCTGATGAATATCCTTTGCACAGCACCATACAAAAATAGCGCGCGTATTCTCGTCGACGTTGGAATCCCCAATGGTCGACTGTTATTACAATCGCGCCCTCAGACCGCTCGCTTTTAATACGCCATATAATCTAGTCTTTAATTCCTCTGTTACGTCACTCATTCATCTGCTGTCAACCGCCATCGACCACTCTCATCCCCGTTGCTATCGGCTACTATTCCACCATGGTGATCACTGAATTGGCATGATTTGGTGTGGCGCACCAGTCAGATGCCCACCTCACAAGGCGACTCCTGCGCGGCTGTCTATTTGCTTCTTCCTTGTTCTGCAAATACTGTGTAGCGGCTGCCATGATGCCTATTATCGGAACCTGGCTGTCTCCGATAGTAAGCTGCGACGAAACCATCGGCATCAACGGCATGGGGTCTATGAGGATGATCGGCGAACACTTCGCGAAGTGCATTAAATCGCCCCAGTTCATCCCACGTCAATCCCCTAGCTACCCGTGCGGGATGTTTGCTTTTGTGGCGACATGTCGAAGCTGCCACTCCGCTTTGGATCTGTGTTCATCATAGCCTCGTGTTTACTAGATGTGGGTCAATTGGCCGTAGTGGGTTCAAGAGGCTGTTAAGGTATGAGAGACGCCCCCACATACATGCATCCGGGCGTCGATCATGCTGCAACTCGAGATCAGCCATCCATGCGTCTTCCATGCGCACTGTCACAGCCGCCCTTCAGACTAGAAGGACGCGCATGTGACGAAGCGATAGCCAATGGACTACACACGTGAGAATCGGCTACCCAATCAATGGTAACACGTGAAAGCAAACGAAGGAACACTGACATGCAGCGCCATGATGGCGCATAGGCATTGAATGACATCAATCACCACCTCCATGGACCTTGATTCTGTCAGTAACGGAAACGCTACATGATGCCAGCACGAGCTTCTAGAAGCGCTTTAGCTTCGTCTGCCTGCAGCTGCAGGGCTTAGCGCTGAGCCGTTCATTAATTCGCGCAGGCTTGGTGTTGATTGGCCGCGCAAGAAAAACCCTACACTCAACAGTGCGTGCGCATCTGCTGGAAAGTCTGCGCACCTATTCTTCGGGGCCGCCCGGTCACGAACAACTGCTGCGTTACATCGGTCTACGGCATCTTTCACTCTTTACACGATACCAACATGACCCCTGACATGTAGCACCCCTCCTACTGATGCACGCCGAGAAAACTGAGAGCATGTGCCATGTACTAATCACTTAGCTATGATGGCGTCTGGCCCGGTCTTGCTCAATTCGGTCTGGTACTTCACTGCCATCCCGTCTTCGTTGCGCCGTCAGTACTATGCGATTGCAACGCTTGGGCCGGCGGCTGTCAGACTCTTGGGCAGCAGTGATGCGACCACTTCATGAAATGTGGAGGAAGTCATCTCGAATCCCAGCTGTCTCATGGTGGAGTCCGGGGCTTTGATCTTGACTACGACAGTACGTCA